AATATTTCGGGTACCCAAAAAAGGGACCATAATTTTGACAACCACTCTGGACTTTGAATAGTCATCAAAATTTGGAGGCCTTCTTTGATCTGATATGGCTGGGCCCCTGCAGGTTTTGCCCCAAGAAACGGATCTTAAAAGGCAGCTCTTGTCAGATCCTTTCCCAGCTCAGCCCTCAGAGATATCCAGAATCCACATAATTACCACATCTTGAATCCAATGTCAAGTAGTCCTATAAAAAAATAACCTTCTTCATGCCCTAAGAATCCTAGCCCAAAACTCACCCCCCAGAGCCCTCAGAATCCCGGGAGATTCTGAAGGCGTTTTTCAGGACGCCTAATTTCTAGTTGCCTGGTGGCCCCCAACAAAGGGAGAGGGGGGGGGATAGAGCTTAAAGAAGGTGCCAGATTATTGGCAATTCTTCAGGCTTCTTGAGATTGGTCTCCCTTGCGTGGAGTAACCCACCAATGCCGTAACACCAACAACATCCATATCACCCATGCCCAAAGCAGGCAGGGGCCGGGATATTGCCCTAAACCCTAAACCCTAAACCTTAAACCCTAAACCCTAAACCTTAAACCCTAAACCCTAAACCCTAAACCCTCATACAACTAGGCAGAAACGTCGCCTTCGCTTCCACCAGCAAGTAAGACAGTGCGGTTGAACGCATGAAGGGCTGCTTGTTGCAGCTTGTCCTGCACATCAACAGTTTAGGGTTTAGGGTTTAGGGTTTAGGGTTTAGGCAGCACGTCCCTTCATGCCCCTTGTCCCTTCGCAGCAGAATCTGCTACTCTGCCACATAGTAGTTCTTCCCTAAATTTTGCCCCGAGGGGGCTTTAAAAGACAGGTTTTGGAGGAAGCTTTCACATGACAATTTCAGCCCTGAACCCCAAACCGAATCAATGAGGAACAGCTTGAGGTGTGGGCCTTCAATGCAGTCTGGCGAGATTTCGCCAAGTACCTCGGAGGAAAAGACATCTGACCAAGAACCTAAGGGACCCAAGCAGTAGGTGAGGATTGTCTTCATATGAGCTATATTGAGCTATAGTCTAAACTCCTTAGAGGGGGGTGTATAGGGGATAATGTAGGGTAGTATGATAGGGGCTATTATGGGGAATACCAGGAGTTTAGACTATACCTCATATGTAGCCCCTGAGGAACAAATAAGCTTACGTGCAAGTGGAATCGCCATTCTCACTCATCACCCTCAACCGCAAGGATCATGAGATAGTCACAGGGCCCCGCCTTTGGGAGTTAGAATACCGCAAATCCCCATGGTTTGAACCCTAAACAAGAAAATCCCCATACACATCTATATATCCCAGTAGAAATGCTGTAGCCACCTTACTTTGAGTCATCGAAATCCCCCTAATATGAGCCCTAAACACCTAACTCCCCACCCCTAAACCCTAAACCCTAAACAAACTGAATACTTGCAGATGCTGCGAGGCCGCATTCCGAGGGCGGCACATTAACGTAACACCGACCTCTGTGGGGTTTGGCGTTTTGGAATTTAGGGCTTACGGTTCAGGGCGGCACTTTAGATTTGGGATTTAGGGCGCCCTCTCATAAACATGAAGCCATCTTCGACAAGAACACCGGTATTTGCAGGGCCCTTCTGGCCATTTCAAATTAGCTTGGGGAAATGGGCAAGCAACGCAATTCCCTCGTCACACCCTGCTGAAAGCAAATATTCCCCCTTCAGTGGTGTGTCTTAGAACAGTCAATATTACGGGAGCCTTATTTTTTTTTTGGTTTTGGAGGGCGGGGATTACTTGATCCCGAGAAGCCCCAAGGACCCTCAGAGTAGCAGGCTGCAACAACCGTAGTACGCACTGCATGTGTCGGAAGAATTCTCAATCTTGCAGAAGGTTTACGCGTAGAGCTTAAGGCTTAAGTAAGGTTTAGAATCCTGAAAAAAACTATGACCCCTCATCACCCTTGTGTATTTGCGGTACACTACACCCCGGAATTTTGTCCTCTTGATTTCGGCCCTACATCAGTCTTGTACCATAGCTGAACATGGGTTTTGGGACGTTGTGAAATGGGGCTAGCTTAAGCTGCAAGCATTTAGCATTTGGAGAGCCCTTGTGCATTCTCTGACACAAGAGGCAGACTAAGGAAGTGAAATCCCGTAATAAGATTGAGGGCTTAGGGCTTAAAAGTCCTTATCATGACTGCTTCATATGTGCATATATCCATGGGGGACTTGATCAAAAGTACCCGGACACAATTCTTCATAGACACTCCATACTCTTCTTTTTTGGCTCCTGCATCTTCCATGGATCCCTACAGGCCCATTTTTTGCGCAACCCCCACGTAAGAATAATACTGCGAGGACCTAAATGACTACCAATATCATGTTGAGGTCTAATGATTTGAGGCACACTGTACCATAACTATACAAGACTTCCAGAACCACAATACGAGTACTGGTTAGTTGTTAGTATTACCAGAAACCCATATAATATCATCCCCGTTCCATTTCATGTTCCATGTTCTTCTCCATTTGATTCTGCATGATTGGAGTACCCAAATCGCTATCGCAGGAATACCGACATCGACTCCTCCACTATATTCCGAGCAAGCTTCAACCCTACTGGCACTACTTCAGTCCGGTTTAATTATACAGGATACATTACGACATCAGGGGATGCGCACGCTTCAGACATCTTTGGGAAGCTCAATCTGATATTGTGGAGAGTGATGTTGTGGAGCGTAGCATCATTGAAAAGGGGCAGTGGCCGCCGCAAAAACCTCGCATAACCTCTAAACGCTGGTATACTACCCTAACCCCCTAAACGCGAGTATATCCTAAACTCTAAACCCCCAGACCCTAGACCCTAAGCCCTAGACCCTCAACCCCTAGACCCGAAACCCTGAACCCCTAAACCCCTAAACCCTAAGCCCGAAACCCTAAACCCCAAATAGTAGTTTCCATTTAATTTTCCATTATCCCAATATAACGGCAATATATACCCTATATATTGGGGTTGTTTCCATGTCTTTTCCATTATCCCACCATCCAAACCCTCGAGTCTGCTCTGGCCCCCACCATCCCACCATCCCTGGTTTGATCAATGCCACTGTAAGCTGCAGGCAGAATTCTGCAACGCTGCAGACGTCACGTGGCGCTTCAGCGCCTGCAGATGGGTTTAGGGTTTAGGGTAACGCTGAAGTCATTCAACTCCAACTCCTTGCGTTTGGGTTTTGTGTGGGGTGAAGGCTTGAAGCGCGGAGCTATCCCAGCTGAATGACCCCTAGATGGGTATTCGAAAATAGGGTTGAGCGTCTTTTCAACCAAGGGTAAGTATGACAAAAGGCCCTAGTGTTTTGCTTTGAAAAGCATACCATCCTGCAGATTTGTACTTGTGATGCGTATGCTTAATCAGGCTTGTTCGAGTGCTTCTTCTTTGTATCAGAGAAATTCAGGAACCTCTTCTTAATCAGCTTGAAACATGTTGTGAACAAATTGTGTTCGCAAAAGCAACTGCAGTCCTGCAAAGAGGTCAAAAACAGTTCGAATTGTCAAGGTACCTGACTGTCAGGAGGCGATGTCTGCGAAGGGGTATTGCCCTGCTCTTGACATTGAACACTCTTTGGTAAGTTTCTTCAGCAAAAGTGGCTCCTTGCTCGTCCTTGCTCGTTTATGAGAACTTCTCGTTTTCCGAAGCCCCAAGCCCAGCTGATCGTCAGTGTACACCCCATCTAGGGCCGCAAATACGATGTGCCTGACAACCCCGCAAATTTAAATACACCTGGGTCATGAAGCACCCCCAATTACTGCAGTACCGCGTCACCTCCCTTTTTTTGGTACTTTTCGGCAGTTCTCGCACACGGTATCCTGACAATATCACCCTCAAAATCACAATGCCGCATGCTTCTGGTTCAAGCCCACACGTATTCAGTCGTGGTAAACGTCGAAGTCCACAGATATCGGATATTGTCATCATGTTTGATTAAGATGATTATTAAGCATTCTTTGAGATCATGCCAAAATTAGCTTTCAACAATTTTCCTACGGGGACAGGAGAATGGCCTTCTGAAGCTTCTGAAGCGCCCTTTCGGCATCACCTTTTTGTAACGCCCGGACAGCGGCCTGCGTCATGCGCAGGGATTTATGGGGGTTCCTTGGGCCCCGATGTTGGTGTAAAAAACATCGTATGTTGGGATCCATCTTGGGCCCCTGCTTATGAACTGGCAAAGAATGCCACAACATGATCCCATAGAAGTGAACCCTAATCGTCTCCCCACATAAAGTCCTTGGGCCCCCAAAAAGGACCCCAACTTTGAGAGATTTCCATAACCCTAAACCCTAACCCTGCACTCTAAACCCTCGAGGGCATAGGGCTCACGATTTGCCTGGACACCCCTGCGGATACAACTATGGACTTCTGTACTCAACCAAGCCTCCACCGAATTATTGTTACGATAACTATTGTTACCTTTTTTGTTACGTTTATTGTTATCACTCTTGTTGTTTCTCTTACTGTTCTATACCCCAAGTCACGCAACTTCTCTTGTGTAAGACTGCGCCGCTGCCACGCACCTGCACCTAGACAGACCCTCGGCTACCATGGAGTTCACGAACTTCGATGGAGCGTTACTATATGCAGGGTGACTCTCTCTCCTGAATTCCGAACAACCGTTGGGAATTTGATCTTGGCAACCCTCAACCCGTAACCCTAAATGTTGTACCGTGTCCGTGCGCCTCAACCTCAGACTGTGAACTGCACTGTAGCTGGTGTCCCTCTAACAGAATTCCCCATCCCTTAATTTCCAACTCTTTTCCAGGCATTATCCCCGTTCCATGCCGATGGCTCCCCCCTCTTGTGACCTTCTAGTTATTGCTACTGTTAACATTCTTGTTGTCTTGTTCTCATTATGATATACTGTTGTTACTGTCATCGTTACTCTCGTTTATTTTCTTATTGTTATTATCATACTTATGGGTAGAGGGGTATCCACCCCCTGCATTTCGTGCACTTTCCTTAACCAATACACCAATAAACCAATAAACCATTAAACCATTAAACCGATGATTTTCCCCATGTGGAAACCCATTAAACCATTAAACCAATAAACCATTAAACCATTAAATCAATAAACCATTAAACCAATGGTTTACCCCATATGAAAACTTATTAAACCATTAAACCAATAAACCATTAAATCGATAAACCATTAAACCATTAAACCATGAAACCAATGTTTTCCCCCATATGAAAACCCAGAAATGGTTTAATGATTCAATGGTTCACTGGATTCCCATATGGGGAAAACTTTTGGTTTCATGGTTTAATGGTTTAATGGTACAATGGTTTAACGGTTTATTGGTTTAATGGGTTTCCATATGGGGAAAACTTTTGGTTTAATGGTTTAATGGTTCAATGGTTTATTGGTTTAATGGTTTAATGGTTTAATTGATTTCCATATGGGGAAAACCATTGCTTTAATGGTTTAATGGTTTGATGGTTTATTGGTTTAATCGTAGATTGGTCCAATGTTCTACCCCACGTGTTTCGAAACAACCCCTACGTTTCGAAACACTTACAATGCAAACAAGGCGTCGTAATGAAAAGCATGGAGCCCAAGCTCATTGTATGGGATCAACAGACACACCTGCAAGGAACTACAGCTTCCACTTCTCTCAAGTTAAGTGCATATCTCTTGTATCTTCATTGTGGAGAAAAGAGTC